AGTCTCCGGAGTGTCGAGGCAGGCTTTCACAGCGCTTTGCATTTGCTGTTGGTGCAGCCTGGACCACCTCCCTCTCACCTCCTTCAGAGAAGCCTGGCTAGACCTCCCCATTTAAAAATGCTCCTCGCCCCGAATCTAGTCCCTATTCCCTGCTTTGTATTCTGCCATTAAATGTACCACCCTGTAACACACTGCTAAATTTTGTGTATTGTCTGCTTTCCCCCGCTGAAACGAGAGCTCCGGGAGGCGTGGATGGGTTTTTGTCCGCTGCTGTATCTCAGTACCTAGAACAGGGCCCAACACTTCGCGGCTGACTCTGGCAAACACCGCGGATTCTGCTTTTAGCTTTCTCTTCTCCAGTCCCACCAGCAGCCCACAGGGCCGCCTTCCGAGGAAGGGCAGTGAGAGAACAATGACTGAAAGTCCAATTTCCCTAAAAGAGAAGAGCAAAGGTGAACTAGTGGTAGGGTTTCCTACCATTGGAGTAAGGCATTTTTTTTTCTTTCTTTCTTTCTTTCTTTTTTTTTTTTTTTTTTTTTTTTTTTTTTTTTTTTTTTTTTTTTTTTGAGATGGAGTGTAGCTCTGTCACCAGGCTGGAGTGCAGTGATGCAATCTCGGCTCACTGCAACCTCCGCCTCCTGGGTTGAAACGATTCTTCCGCCTCAGCCTCCATCGTAGCCAGGACCACAGGCGCGTCCCATCACGCCTAATTTTTTTTTGTATTTTTAGTAGAGACAGGGTTTCACCATGTTGGCCAGGATGGTCTCTATCTCTTGACCTCGTGATCTGCCCCCCTCGGCCTCCCAAAGTGCTGGGATTACAGCCGTGAGCCACCGTGCCCGGCCAGGAGTAATGCATTTTTATGAAGATCTGTCTTTTGTGACGTGAATCACCAGAGAATTTGGTCACTGAGCTACAAACCTCTGGCACCTCCTCCCCACTCCCAAAGATGTAATCTAGGGTAATTACAGGATTAATAGGAAATTGTCAAATCATATAATTTCCCTTCCCGGTTCAAGGGGAAAAAATACAAAGAAAAATAAAAGAAAAGGCAGAAGAAGAAAAGGAGACATTTGAAATCCTTATCTTTTCTTCATTTTCATTTTTCTTTCTCCTTCTGACTTCAGAGAATAAAATAAACCAGAAAAGATTACACAAAAGCAAGGAAAATATCTGTTATTGGAGCGAACCCCTTGATCAGAGAAGTGCTGGCATTCTGATGTGGCCAATGAGCTTAGTGCCAGGGAAAGGGATCAGATAAATATATTTATATCACTTATACATATGAAATATTTTAAGATGCTAACATAATAAAGACAAATTTTCAACATGTACAGGTAAAAGAAATTATAATGCCACCATTATGAGAGAAAGGCTACCACCAGCGTATGTTTCTTTCCAATCTCTTCCCATATGCATACATTTTTACATACTGTTCATGTCATATATGTACTTTTTGTAACCTGATTTTTTTCTCACTTTACTTCAGATCAAATAAACATTCCATGTGGCAAATTTGTCTGCATGTTTGTAATTTTTTTTTTTTTTTTTGAGACAGGGTAGAACTCTGTTGCTCAGGCTGGAGAGCAGTGGTATCATCATGGCTCACTGTACCCTTGAACTCCTGGGCTGATCCTCCCACTTCAGCCTCTAGAGTAGCTGGTACAAGAGGCGAAAGCCGCTGCACCCAGCCTGCATGCTTGTAATTTTAAAAATGCATAACAGGTTATCCTGTGGCAATAACATATTTTGTTTAGCCATTCAACTATAATTAGACATTTATGTTGCTTACATTTTTTACCCTTAAAATGTTATCATGAACTTTTAATGCATATAGTATTTTTCTCTCTAGTATTTTCAATGATCATCCTAGAATAATTTTCTAGTTGTGGGGAAATTGAGTCAAAACTGATGACTCTTTTATGGTCTTGAAAGTGACAGTAAAACTGCTTTCCAGCAGGTCAGTGCCAATTTACAATGAAGCCAGTGAAACACGTGAGCACTAATTTCACCACACTGTCACCAGCATTTGATATTACTACTTTTTATGTTGTTAATTTAAAAAGGATTCTTATTTTAACATGTATTTTTCCTGTATATATTTTTCTTATTTCTTCTGCTGGGAAATACCATTTCATGTCACTTCTGCAATTTACCTTTGCAAACTGTCTCAGTATTTTTCTTATTCTTTTCCATGGGCAGTATATTAACGCTTTCTCATACACACTGTATTTATCCAATCTGTTTGTTTTACATTTCTGGCTATACTGTCATCTAAAACAATTTAGCCCTTTTATGTAGATCAGATCTTATCAAGGCCATTTCTCCTATTACAAGTAGCCTTATACAATCTCTTTGTCTTAGTTCCACCACTTTATTTTATTTTATGTATTTATTTGAGATAAGGTCTTGCTCTGTTGCCCAGGCTGGAGTGCAGTGGTGCAATCATAGCTCACTCCAGCCTCAAACTCCTCCTGCGTCAGCCTCCTGAGTAACTGGGACTACAGGTGTGCACCACCACACTCAGCTAGTTGATTTCTTTCCATTTTAGGTAGAGATGGGGGTCTCACTATGTTGCCGGTGCTTCCAGGACTAAAACGAGGATTTAATTCTGCTTTAGCTCTCTGATTTTCATTTCTGTATCTAGCTATTTAATCCATTTTGATGTATGATATTTACATCAAATTGACCTCTGCCCTAAATGCTACCTAGTTAACCAAGACTAAATATATTTTAAGAAGCACTTCCATAACACAAGGCAATAGACTATGCCTATAAAAAGAGTTCTTGTGTGCCGGGGCATGGTTCCAGGCTCCCTGGGGAGAGACAGGGAGGGTGCAGCCCCAAAAGACTTAAAATGTGAGGTGGCTCAGTGAGAAAAGTGGGCATGACCAGAATAAAGCGTGGGAGTGCACAGGAACGTTCCCGAGATGTTTTTACCTTGCCCTTTCCGTGCATATAAAACTCTGGGGAATGAAATCGCTTCTGAAAATAATAATCCCTTGACCCAGAGGTTTTCCTAGCTCGTTAGAGTCCTTTTAGTGCTTCAAGAATGAGGGCTCTCAGCTGACCTAGGGCAATGAGCACCCGCTGTGTGTATGTAGAGTGTTGTGCTAGGCACCTGTGTGGGTAGCTGTGTGGGATGCAAAATAGTCCCGAGGCAACCACGCGTTAAGCTGAGTGCTGAAATAAAAGGGAGATGAGTTTAATCTGAGCAGATAACCCAGCGTAGCGCTGGCTCTGCTGCTGAGCTTTGCTGATGTGGAGTGTGGCGCTGCGACTCATGGGCTGTGTCCACCTTCTGTCTTCCTCCCCTCCTTTCAGTTGGCCGAAGCTTCTGATCACACAGACAAGAACCTCCGCTCGCTTTCCTGCTGGCAGCAAGGCAGCCAAGTTCACTCAAGCTCTCTCACAGCGTTTGCAAGAATGGGTCCGTAAGCCTGGCGGCTGGCAGGTACACTCATTTGAGATTTTAAAAGGAATAGGAAATGCCTGTCCCCCATGCCCACTGCTGCCCACGAACTTGAAGACCCAAGCGACCATACTCGGTAGGCACTTGTGCCCTTCTGGTCTGGTTCCCTCTCGCCCATCCACATTCGCGGTTATCTTTCTTTCCCGGTGCTCACAGCATGCAGACCACAGCCCCTAGCCGCTAGTGTTTCCCTTGCTAGGACCACATGTAAGTGTCTTGGCTTCGCAATTTTGATGGGCAGGCAGGTGGACCGGTACTTGCCCCACTTCAACCCGGTCCCCAGCTTTGGCTCAAGCGGATAAATCTTGAAAAAGGATCTGGGCTATTTAACGGTGGCATGGCGGGTCCAGATCCCCAAACCTGTCACTAGCGACGTCCCACATGGCAGATTCCCTCTCAGCGAAGCCCGTCACCGTTTCTGTCCGGGACACCCCTCTGCCCACCCTCCGCTCTGGGAATTCACCCTCGGGGCCTCCCCGCCTCGCTCCCTCCCATAGCCCGGCGGGACCCGGGACAAGAAGGGCAGGCGCTACCCGCAGAGTCCCTGGGGCAGCCGCGGCTCTGGGTGCCCGGTGGGACTCGGTGAAGCCGCTGTCCTCGCCCCAGGGCCGCGCCTCCGGGGCCGCGGGAGGAGCGACAGTGGCGCTCGGATGTCTGATCGCCGCGGAGAAAGTCCATCGGGACAGTGACCCCTGCGCTGCGGGGCGGGCACAGGGCGTGGCTGACGCGCAGGAAGATGCCGCGATGGGACCGGGGAAAAAAACACGGACTCCAAAACACCCACTGTGTTTCTCAGCCAGAGTTCCCCGGGAGCGGCCGAAGGACCCCAAAGGCTGGGTGGCACCCCCCTGACCTCCAGCCGCCCTGGCGTCGCCTCGCGTGGGTGGGCTTCGCGTTTCCTCCGGGGTTTCGGAGCCACCACGTGACTTCCACGAAGCGCAGGCCCAGGCGGAAAGTGCGGCAGGGGTGGGATTTGGGACCCCGAGGTGCGGAGAGAGGGCGGGCAGAGGAGGAAACGAGGCGGGGGTGGGAGAAAGAGGGCGGGGCAGACGTGGGACGGGAAGGACGGCGGTCGGGACTGGCGCGCGGGGACACCGGGCGGACGAGCGGAGCGGCAGGGAGAGGGGAGAGCGGGAAGCCCGAGGGGGCGGGGCTGGCGCGGGGCTGCGGGTGCAGCACGAGGATGCCCACGGCGGGACAGCGCCCGTAGGCAGCCCCGCGGGTAGGGCGCGCGGGTGGGCGGGTGGGGCAGGAGGAGCACCCGGCATGTCGCAAGGTCTCCCGGCCGCCGGCAGTGTCCTGCAGAGGAGCGTCGCCGTGCCCGGGAACCAGCCCCAGCCGCAGGTAGAGGGTGAGAGGCTCAGGGAGGGCCGTGGGGTGCGGGGAAGCAGACGCGATGCGGCGGGGGGGGGGCGAGGAGGTGGGTGTCAGGGTTCGGTGGTGGTGACCACAAAGGTGGGGGGCGCGGCCAGAGACGAGCGGAGTAGGGCGTGAGGGAGTGGGGGCGATCCAGAGACCCTGGCATGCGCACAGTGGCCATGGCGCCTGGAATGGCTCCTGAGCCGGCTCCTGCGCCCTCTGTGGGGGAGAAGTCCGAGGGCGCCGACTCCTGGCTGGGCCGGGCATGGCCGGCGCTCCCCGGCACGTGGGCTTCTCACTGTCCCGGGGGCCGCTCCATCCTAGTGTAGCCGGCTACTGGCATCCCACCCTCCACGCCTGTAGCCCTTCCGGGCCACCCCGGGAATGGGCAGCCGCGGGAATGCAGAAACTGGGACTGGTCAACCTGGGAGGGGGGACCCACAGTGGGCAGACTCTGCCCCCAGCTGGTGGAAACCCTTCACCCCCCTTCCAGTCAGCGGTCCCTAGGCAGCGTGTACAGCTGCGCACTCAGGAAACAGACCGGATTGGCCGCAGGGACAGCTATCTGGAAACTTTCCCTGGGTCTTTGCCACCTGTCTTTTCGTTCTTACTCCCCACCTTCCCAATTCAGCGCCCAGCACATGTCATCGGGTGTCACTGGAGTGTCACAGAGATCTGAGTTTGGACCTCCGCTTTGCCACACGCAGGCTGAGCAGCTTTGAGCAATTTGTTTAACCTGTCGGAGCCTCTGTTTCCCCATCTATAAAATGAATATACTAACATCAACCTCTCAGAATTTTTGAGACTGAATGAAATATGGTTAATAACAATACCATCTTTAACTTTTGCTTACTATCTCTCACTTTCTGTCTTGATTAAATGTTTCTGCTGGGTTGGCAGGCTGTGACCATGATGATGAGTCCAGTTTAGAGTCAGCTCTAGTTTAGAGTCAGCTCCCCGAGGGCAGCATGCAGGCTGCTTTCTTGTGCCTGTAACTTTTTGATTATGGAGAACAAAGAGGCACGAAAAGCACTATGCAGAATACATTTATTTTTAAGCAGCAACTTCAGCAAAGGCAGGTAACTTCTTGAGGGCATACTGTGTGCTGGGAGCTTTAGGACAAAGTCTCATTTCATCATATCCTAATCCTAAGCATTAGGCTGTTGGCACCAAGTCTGCAGAGTTCACTGGCCCTTTGTTTAGTGCTTGTATCTCAAGTGTCTAGGACAGTGTCTGGCACATGGTGAGCGCTCAGTTAATACATATTGAGAGAATGAATGAATCATGCTTGCAATAAATGAGAAAAATGAAAACTCAAGAGAATTTAAACCATTTACACAAGACCATGTTGACACTAAGAGACAAAACTAGGATCTGTGTGATTCTAAAGCTAAAGTGCTGTCTTCTGACCACATGTTCCCCTGTAATGTTCTGAGCTTTGTTTATCCAGATTTTTTTGAAGACTGTATTTTTATACCTTGTCTCTGTTCCCTTAAGCTTCTATTTGCTATGTATATTATTTATTCTTCTCTTTTTTATACCCTTATGTTCTTGCATATGCTGAAAATTCTTACCTGCAGTAACTTGGGAAGATGTGTATCTTATTTGGAATACAAGGTGAGATCAAATGATAACTGAAAATATCCATTATTTTGTTATTAATATTTGCATTCCATGCATATTAATAACTGAGTATCTTTCCCATGTTTGTACCTCTTGGCTTTTAAACTCTGTACATGTAGTGTTTTTCCAATTTGGTGGTGTCTTCTCGTGGGGTTCCAGAAAGAAAATACTACTCTACTTTCCATGTTTTCTATAACTGATTGAAGTGTTTTTCCCATGGTGCATTTTTCCACCTGTCTGTTTCATAATCACTCTTGAGGGATTTGACTGAGTTTGGCTAAATCTTACATATAGCTAACAGCTTTCAAGACACATCAAAAATTTTCTTTCTGATTCAGTTCGACTTCTGAAACAAAATGTCAGCCAAGCATTGTTCAAATGAGTACATTGTCAGTGGGGTTTAAGATCATTTGGTGTGTTGCTAGAGTTGTGTGGTTGCAATTAGTTGTAAGTGTGATCGTGATTTGCATGCAGTATCAAAAGTATCTTTTACGCATGGTGGTGTAAGGCCTGGCAAACAGCGAGTTCCAGATAGCAGATCTCTCCCCCGCCCCCTGCCCCCACCCAGCTTTCCAGTCTCAGATGGACAACATTGACACCACAGCTCTTCCAGGCACACGCCCTGTGGGCTAGAGGTTTATGAACGTTGGTTTGGAGACCAACAGACCTGAGTTCCACTTCCCACTCACGCACGTAGTGGCTATAATACCTGGAGCAAGGTCCTTAACCTCTGTGAGTTTCTTATTCCTCATCTTTGAAACGGCAGTCACACTGCACACTCCACACACTCACATGGTGAGTGCTCCTGGGCCAGGGGCTGCTGTGAGCCCACTGTGAGCCCACAACTGCAAAGCAAATGGTGACGTTCAGTGAGCAACGCTAGCGACAAGATGGGGCAGAGAAGGGTAAGGCGAGGGGCCCCGACATCACACCCCACCCAATGTTTTCCCCCAGAGCCCTGAGGATGATGACAGGAAGGTCCGAAGGAGAGAAAAAAACCGCGTTGCTGCTCAGAGAAGTCGGAAGAAGCAGACTCAGAAGGCTGATAAGCTCCATGAGGTGAGACCGTGGTGGGGCAGCCACCTTAGAGCCACAGCCTCCGCCCTTGCACGGGAGCAGGGGCGATGTTACTGTTCTCCTCATCACGATGTCAGCAGCACTCATATCTAATTTCTGCCGGGTCCTTCCAGCCCAGTGTTCTCTCTTTTTGCTCACGGACATGTTCATTTCTCCCTCATCCACTGGGTGCTTCTCATGCTCAAGTTTCTTTCATTATAAAGCAAAACAAAGCCTCTTCCTGACCCTGATCCCTTTCAAGTTCTTGCTCCATTTCTTCCCTTCCCTCACATCCTTGCTTCTTGTTTGGTTTGGTTTTTTTCCTCCAGAGTAATCCCTAACATCCTTGCTTCTTCAAGAGAGTAGTTACACCTGTTGTCTCTGTCCCTGGTTCCTAGTTATTCCCCAGTCCTCTGTGACTTCATTTCTGCTATCCCCTCTCCACCCAAAACACACATATGTGCACACAAACACACACATCCACACAAGTACCCAATGCGCGTGTGTACACACACACGCCCTACAAAAGCTGCTCCCACTGCAGCCACCAGTGTCCTGGCACTGGCCTATCCAGGATGCTCTTTCTGGTCTCATCATCCTTGACCTTGTTAGAACATTTGACACTTTTGACCCATCTCTTCTTAAAGCCTCCCCCTCTTTTGCTTCCAAAAGACCACATGTTCTAGTTTTCCTGATCCTCTTCAATATTTTTCTCCATTTCTTTTTTAGCTTTCCATCCTCTAGTTCTTAAATGTTGGTGATGACCAGTGTTTCAAACTCTGCCCTTTTTTTTTTTCTTTTCTCATCCTGGAGGATTTAATCTATTAATCTGTTCTCCCAGCATCAGCTCCCAACATTGATTACTCCAGGCAGGCCCTCTGTCCTGCACCCTAGACTCCGTAACTTCAGCATCTGCTGAGCTGTTTCCCCGTGGGTCCACTGCAGGCTCCTGTGCTGTACCACATCCATAAGAGTGTTATTGTCCATTTACCCTGAGACTTTCTCTTTTCATTGTCTTCAAAAAACAGGAAGGTATGGCAGGAGACAGCTAAACTAAATAGTTAATTAATGTAGTTAGTGGAGCAAACCATCTTTCTTCTCACTCAAATCAGAAGCCTAGGATTTACCCTAAGCTATTCCTTTTCCCTCTACCCTCGTGCATACACCTGCATAATCCCACAGTTGGGGCATGGAGACGCTCCATATCAGGAACTGGTCTCAAAAGCATGCAAGGATCTATCTGAAGAATGGGTGGCTGTTCCATGTCCTTCTCTTTGTCCAAGTTGGTGTGCCTAATTAAAGATTTTAGTTTAGCTCTCTTCTGCCATACTTCCTTGTTATTTTTATTTATTTTTTTTTTGAGACAGGATCTTGCTCTGTTGCCCCTGCTGGAGTGTGGTGGCATGATGATGGCTCACTGCAGCCTCCACCTCCCAGACTCAAGCAATCCTCCCACCTCTGCCCATATTTTTGTAGTTTTGTAAAGATGGGGTTTTGCTATGTTGCCCAGGGTAGTCTCAAACCCCTGGACACAAGTGATTCAATTGCCTTGGCCCCATAGAGTGTTGGGATTATAGGCATGAGGAATTGTGCCAGGTCTCCTGCCATACTTGTCTCAGCAAGGCCATTCTGGGGCATTGGCAATACAGAGACTCTGAGGTGTGTTGGGGAGAGCAGAGGAAAAGGGCAAGCTCTTAAATCTCTACCAATGAACAGAGAACAAATTTAGAATGCACATACTGCACAGAGAGGTGACCCTCTGATACACAGTCACAGTGTGGCATAAATCATAAACATCAGATTCTTTCCTGGAAGTAAGAAGGCTGGGCCTTAGACAGGGGTCTCTAGACTAGCATCACGGAAGGTCCTTCGCAACCTTTGTTCTGCAGAATTTCCACAGAATAATGGCAATGCCCTTTGCCTCCTTTCTTCCTTCCCTCTTGCTCCTGAAGCAATTGTGGTTCTAGCGTCCTGTTACCAAAGAGGCCCCAGAGGGGACCTGTGGCTCCCAGCTAGTGCATGGCCCTGTATTCAGACATGTGCTGCTGGATGGCCAAGACGTTACCCCTCAAGAAGCTCCTAGTCCCAGCCAGGTGCTTTAATATTTTTAAAAACTAGTCTTAAAAAAACATCAGTTGTAAATCTGGACTGAATATGTACCCGGAGGACAAGATCTTGGACAAGATCTTTCATGGAACAAGGTTGAGTAAGTAGATCCATTTCACAAATACGAAGACGTTCCCACTGAGTCACAAAGAGAGATGGAAGAGATCCTGCCTTGCCTGTCAGTGGGAAGCCTAGAATTTCCCAAGGAAAGGATGTTAATTTCCTACTGCTACTGAAACAAGCTCTCACACATTTGGTGGTTTAAAACAACACAAATTTACGATCTTAGAGTTTTGGCAGTCACACGTCAGCAGTGGGGCACACTGGGTCAAAATGAAGATGGCAGCAGGGCTGCCTTCCTTCTGGAGGTTCTGGAGAAGATTCGTTTTCTTGCTCTTTCCAGCTTCCAGAGGCTTCAGTGTTCCTGGGCTGGTGGTCCCCTTTCATCTTCAAAGCCAGCAATGGCTGGTTGCATCTTTCTCAGGCTATGTTACTCTGGCGCTGTTTTCATTGTCACATCTTCTATGACTCCCTGACACCCTCTTTCACTTACAAGGACCCTATGATGGCACTGGGACTGCCTGGATAACTCAGGATAGTCTCCCCATCTCACGCTTCTTAGTCACATCTGCATAGTCCCTTTTGCTGTGTAAGGTGACATAGTCACAGGTTCAAGAGATTAAAATGTAGATTTCTGTGAGGGGCAATTATGCTGCCTACCACAGAAGGTAATGTAAATATAGAACTTTACTACAGTATCAAAAAAGGTACATGTATGAAGCGTTGGCTCTCTTGTGCTTTCTCTCACTGCTGCGTTTGATAACTGAGTGAACCAGGTGCCTGGGAACTTCAGAGTGGTGCCACATTTACCCCCAACCAATTTCTTTCAGAACCGTGGGGTAGAGACCCCTTCTTTAGGGTCCCCAGTCTGCTCTCCAGCCCAGTGACTGTGTTGTATGACAGTGATGCCAGCTGCCCTTTTCAGAAATGGGGCAGGTTGATCTGAAGTCCAGACCCTCCATGGAAGAGCCACTTCTCCTCTCTCTCTGTGGGGCTGAAGGAATGGCTCAGGATTACCCACCACTGGCAGATCACCTCAGCAAGGCCAGTTTTATTGAGAAACTCAGGGCCAAAGAGGCCAGGACCCCAGAGCTATAGCTTCACCTTAGCCTTACTAGCTATACACATGTGTCACTGGTCACAAGTGGGTGTGAGGAAGCAGGTGACTGACTTAGGAAAATGGAAATATATCCCAAACCTTCTGCAGAACCAGAGGAACATGATCTCTGAACCAAAGGGTACCACGTGAGTAATCCCTTCCCTGGTCCTTCCCAGCCTCCTTCCAGGAGGGCATGGTAGCTGTGGGGATCTACATTCTTCATGGCCAACAGTTAGTGGCAGGACATAGGATGACTACATCTACCATTGGAGGCGAGGGATCTGGCTTAAAAATAGCGTAAAGAACACTTTTCCCAAGCTCCAGTGAGTTAAGCATAGGGCACCTTGCACACAGCTGTGGGTCATGACAGAAAGCCCCTTAGGACCCCTGGACCTCCCAGGCCAGCCTAGGATGAGGACATCACGCATAGGAACCTTTTCAAATCTGGAGTGAGGCCAGCTCATTGGGAGACACTAAGGGGTCCAGAAAACAGCCACTGCCTGCTGCTCCCTGGAGACTGTAGCCCATCAAAAGGGCTTTCTTCATCTGTTCCTCTTTCCCACACTGCAGGGGTTGCATTCCGAAATATCTCAAGTAACTCAAGCTCTTTACTTGCACGTCTTACATATCCTGATATTTGGAAGATATTTGGAGCAAGACTTGTTTAAAATTTCCACTTTTTAGCCAGGCACAGTGGCTCATGCCCGTAATCCCAGTACTTCGGGAGGCTGAGGTGGGTGGATCACTTGAGCCAGGAGTTCAAGACCAACCTGGCCAACATGGCCTATCTCTACTAAAAATGTGAAAATTAGCTGGGTATGGTGGCGGCCACCTGTTATCCCAGCTACTTGGGAGGCTGAGGCAGGAGAATCGCTTGAACCCAGGAGGTGGAGATTGCAATGAGCCAAGATTGTGCCACTGCACTCCAGCCTAGGCAACAAGAGCGAGACTCTGTCTCAAACAATTAAAACAAAATTTCCACCTTTCTTTCCTCACCTTACTCACATATTCCACCTGTGAGAACATGTGAGGAAGGTGAGGAGAGAAACACCCTGAGAAACTTGCTCCGGCTGGAGTTTTTTGGCCAGTTCCCTTCCCTCCTTGTTCTCCATCTCCAAAGTCCTAGAAGTGTCTGTCAAGGCTGGACCTTTGTGGAGGGGAGAATGGGGGAGGAGGCTGCACAGGCCAAGCCAGAGAGGCAGGGGCTGGGGTTCCCCTTCAGGTAGAGTTTTCTGGGCAGTGGTTGCTGGCAGTTGGACTACAGTGATGAGAAGCCATTCCTAACATATGTCTGTATACCTCAGAGTTCACTGTAGGCTTTCAAATCATCCCCCCAACCCGCTCACACCTCCCATGGGGATTTTGACCTGCATTCATCTCTGAACATCAGGCACATGCCAAAGTCCACGCTGACAAACGAGAACCAAAGTGAACAGTCAGGGTCTCGTCTCAACTAAGCTGAAAGGTGGCTCAGAAGTGGGTCAGCCTGGTTCAGCCAGGCACCCCAAAGGTGTAAGACTGAGAAAGAATTTTGAGTCAGAAAAGGAAAGCAGCAGTGCCATCCTCAGGAGCCCCAAATGTCACAAACTGATGAATGGCTTGGGCAATGTGATTGTGGTGTGTGTTGCCATGGCTTTTTCAGATATTGCATGTTCTAAGAGAAAGCTTCATGCCAGCACCCACGTGGTTTAGAAACTGAGTATGACACTCGTCTATACAGCCCTTGCTGGTAACATGA